TGAACACTGGGCTTAAAAAAACGCTGCTTCTACAGGAGTTGTGTTTTGCATGTAGAAACCACTCAAATGTGCAGGAACATATTTTATGGCAGAAAAAAAAAACCTTCTAGTTTTCATTTTTGAGATGAGTTTTCTGGCAGAAAAAAAACTCTAAACACTTGTAAACGCCTGTACAAAATGCTGTATATGAGCATTTTTTAAGCCCAGTGTGCATGGACTCTTAGGCCTCATTCACATCATACATGTAGAAAGACTGATAGAAAAAAATGCGCAGATTTCAGTTACAAAGGCACAAGTTTACAGTGAGCATTTCAGTGAGTTTTATACACGTTGCAGATTCCTGTGCAGAAAAAATTTGCACATGATACTAGTATTGTGGTGTGAACAGGGCACATAGAGAACAATTGTTTTCTTTGTGTCCTTGCAGAACTCGTGCATAAAAACTCAGGTCTCTGCACATGGTGTGAACGATGCCTAAAGTTTCCCCAAAATAAAAAGTGAAATCTAATTTGCATTAGTTACAACTCCATTTCTCTGTTACATAGTTAGTCTGGATGAAAAAAGACAAAAGTCCATCTAGTTCAATCATAAAACCATGTTCAATTCAGATTTTTTAAAAATGTAATATTAAGTCCCTGGAAAAGATATTTTTGCCTAGGGACTCCTCCCATGAATGCACACACCAAGCAGAATGGATACAAGCTTGCAACAAGCAGTTTCAAACTGTGTATCAATGAAAGATTGCTGAGCCTCGCAGAGAGCAGGAAAAAGGCTACAGAGTCAGGGAGGCGTGCAGCTCCAGCAATAAGAGGCTTGGAGGAGAATGTGAGAGCATATCCCAAGTTGGCCAACTCCCCGAACCGCAAGCATACCTAGCAGTAGATTGCACGTCTCCCTACCAACCTACCATGGGCGCTGCAGTTCAGCTGAACCTGGTGGCCACAGGAGGCTTCTGTGTATTTTTTACTTAGCTCTTTGTTTACCAACAAACTCTTCTTCCCCTTCAGATGGGACTCCTGCCTGTCAGTGGGTCTTTACTGCATGTCACAGGGACGGACTTGTACAATCAGACATCAGCAGCGTATATGACAACACCTCCATGACCCCAAAAATCCATACTGTCTTGCACACCGTCTGGCCCTCGAAACAAGGGCAGAGCTGCAATCCTACTGCAGCTTCTTTGGTTGCTGCTCTGTAGGGAAGCTGGAGTCAGGTGTGCATCACTTTGAGGGAATGTCAGAGGTACATAACAGCCACTCAAGGAGCCAGCAGAAAAGCAGTACAGCACACTGCAGTCATACTGCCACCATCATCTGCTCCAACAGATCTGCTCTTATCTGTCAGAGCAGGCAGGAAACCAGACCCCAGCAGGAGGAACCACTGCTCTAGAGAGTTCTGAAGGAGAGAAGACTGCAGCTAAATGGGTAAAGCGTATGTGGGATGATTTGCTTAATTATGGTTTATCACCTGAGGCTAGTCATTACAGTGGGCAAATGTAAAAGTTTAATACTACTTTAAAAAAGAAGTATGGCTTGCCCCCCATTTATACTTTCTTAGGTGGATACAGCATCTGGATGCAGCATCGGTCAGATGCTGCATCTGTCCCCCCCACCGGCTCTAAGGGTCAGAAATCTGCGAGCTACAGTGAAGAAAATAAGTATTTGATCCCCTGCTGATTTTGAATGTTTGCCCACTTACAAAGAAATTATCAGTCTAAAAATCGAATTGTAGGTGTATTGTAATACTGAGAGACAGAATAGCAAAAAAAAAAATTCAAAAAATGCATGTCTAACAAATTAACCACTGTTTTGCATGTTCATGAGGGATATAAGTATTTTATCTGTCTTTCATACAGGTAACAAGCTGAGATTAGAAGCAGTCTCTTAAAGGGAGTTCTGCTAATCTCAATTTGTTATCTGTATAAAAGACACCAGTCCACAGGAGCAATCAAACAATCAGATTCCAAACTCTTCACCATGGCAAAGAGCTGTCCAAGGATGTCAGGGACAAGCTTGTAGACCTACACAAGGCTGGACGGGGCTACAAAACTATCGCCAAGCAGGTTGGTGAGAAGGAGACAACAGTTGGCGCAATCATTCGCAAATGGAAGAAACACAAAACATCTGTCAGTCTCCCTAGGTCTGATTCACCATGCAAGATCTCACCTCATGGAGTGTCAACGATCATGAGAACAGTGAGGAATCATCCCAGAACTACACGTGAGAAACTTGTCAATTATCTCCAGGCAGCTGGGACCAAGTCACCAAGAAAACAATTGGTAACACACTACGCTGACAAGGATTGAAATCCTGCAGTGCCCACAAGGTCCCTCTGCTCAAGAAAGCACATGTCCAGGCCTGTCTGAAGTTTGCCACTGAACATCGGAATGATGCAGAGGAGGACTGGTTGAAAGTGTTGTGGTCAGATGAGACCAAAATCGAGCTCTTTGGCATCAACTCAACTCACCGTGTTTGGAGGAGGAGGAATGCTGCCTATGACCCCAAGAACACCATCCCAACTGTGAAACGTGGAAACATTCTGCTTTGGGGGTGTTTTTCTGCTAAGGGGACAGGACAACTGAACGGCATCAAAGGGACGATGGACGGGGCAATGTACTGTCAAATCTTGGATGAGAACCTTCTTCCCTCAGCCAGGGTATTGTAAATGGGTCGTGGATGGGTGTGTTCCAGCATGACAATGACCCAAAACACATGGCCAAGGCAACAAAGGAGTGGTTCAAGAAGAAGCACAGTAAGGTCCTGGAGTGACCTAGCCAGTCTCCAGACCTTAATCTGATTGAAAATCTGTGGAGGGAGCTGAAAGTTCGAGTTGCCTAATGTTAGCCACCAAACCTTAAGGACTTGGAGAGGATCTGCCAAGAGGAGTGAGCCAAAATCCCTCCTGAGATGTCTGCAAAACCTGGTGGCCAACTACAGGAAACATCTGACCTCTGTGATTGCCATCAAGGGATTTGCCACCAAATACTAAGTCATGTTTTGTGAAGGAGATCAAATACTTATTTCCCTCATGAACATGCAAATTAGTGCATCATTTGTTATACATGCATTTCTTTTGAATTTTTTGTTCCTATTCTGCCTGTGTTACAATACACCTACCATTCTCTTTTTAGACTGATTTCTATGCGAGTGGACAAACATTAAAAATCAGCAGGGGGTCACTCTGGGGTGGATCCCAACTTTGAAGTCGGGATCTTTCCCCAGCCTGGGCTGGATGCGTAATGTCACAGGACTGCACGTCTGTGATCCACATTTGTATTCTTTCTTGTAAGTGAAGGAGAATTGGGCAGTAAGACTCTTGCCTGAGCTGAGTTCTGATGGCGATGCTGTTAGCATTGAAGGATAAGTTCACCTTTGGAAAATGTTACATGTTCCACCCGTTTTAAGGGTGAAGCATGTAACATGTTTCAACAGCTGCAGACTCCTCCGAAACCCCACCCCTCTTCTCGATGCCACCTCCTTGTGACAGTGGATGGGGGTTCTTCTTTTCGCACCCATTGTCATAATTTTGAATATAGTGCAGCCATGTGGGGCTCCACCAACATGGCCATGACATTTATTCAGTTTTTAGTGAATGAATGCCTACAATCACTGTCAGCCATTGCGGCTGATGGCTTGTATTTCTCAATGAACTATGAGGGCACTAGTGAGTGCTATTGTAGTCCATTGATCTCTTTGCTCTCAGGTTGCTGCCTACCCGTACAAGAGTGTGCAGTTTTTTATGGGCAGACCGCTATCCTGCAGAAGCCTGAGTTTGCACCCTCAATCTGCTGATCGCGGGTACATTGCTCTGCAGTCTCCTTATAAAAAAAAAAATAATAAATGCACTTTTTTTTTTTTATTATTTGTTTTTTTTTTTTTTTTAAAGTGAACTTATCCTTTAAGTAAACTAGAGACTATGTTAATTGATAGTTTAACCCTCTTCCAACAGCTCAGGCAGAGTATTGGTTATCCGCTTCCAGTAGACAGGTCAGTTTCCATCAGGATCTTAAATAGCTGACATTTCTGCTATGATACATGTTAAAAAAGAGCGTAAGCACCTATTCATGAGAGGTAAGGGTGCACTGCTGAAAAATGAAAACTTATATTCTTACAAATGCTTATTTAAAGATTGCTCAGCATGTACTGTTAATGTAGTCTAAAACTGTGATTTCATCTGCATCTACAAGTCATGTGGCAGCTGAGCTCGGGTAAACTCCCAGCAAATTGCAGTCACGTGGGGCTTTCATGAAACTGGAGTACAAAATATGGTGCACTTGATAACAGCAACCAAGTTTCACTTTTTGTTTCATAGAAAAATAAATGAAAATCCAGATTGGTTGCTATAGGTAATTGCTTAATATATTTTTTTTTTTGTTCAGTTTTTGTGAATTGAATCCTTTTGCGGTAGCATATTGGAATAAATTGGGTAAATTATACAGTTTTTCAGTGCCAGTGATTAATGCAAATCTGGATTCCATCAATAAGGATGCCTTCTCATATACTGTATGTGCTTTAGTGTGGTGTGTTTAAAAATAAAAAAAAAAAAGTAGAGAAATCTTGGTTTGCAGTATCTGCAGTTTTCAGTAAAGCACACCTTTCATGGAAATGATTGACATGTTGCACACTGCTCTGTGTGAAAAGCACATAAATCTGAATGTATTATTAGGTTTAGCATTACTCTTATTAATATTTTATTATTGTGCCAGTGCATTTTTTTTTTTTTAAATCATCATTTAGTGCTGATTACAACCCCTTTTTACATACAAGAATGCACTTATGCATCTAGTTCTTGTGGCTCAACTCTCTTGCTTCTTCTTTTGCTGGTGATGATACGGGTTGGCAGTACACTGCAAAAAACAGTTCAAACGAGCCAGAGTGCAGAGTCAAACAGTCATTGGTAATTTTAGCAATTCAAAAATGTATTGTTCATGTAATGCCTGTGCTTATATTTAAAATATGTATTCTAATGTATTATGTTAGGATTCTGAAGCTGTGGATATCATGCTGGGTGTTTGTGCAAACGGATTGCTTATTTACAAGGACAGACTTAGAATTAATCGTTTTGCTTGGCCCAAGATTCTTAAGATTTCCTACAAACGCAACAGTTTTTACATTAAAGTGAGACCTGGCGAGGTAAGCAACACAAATACTTTTAATATGCACCACTGTAACAGAATTTATAAGTACAGTTGTGTTCAAAATAATAGTCATATATCACTAACCTGATCAATCACTGTTTTTGGTAGAAAATATATTTCTACATGGCAACTAATTTACTAGCAGGTGTAGTAGAGTAATAGAAATCCAACAGTCATGACATGCATGCTGCTGATTCTGTGTATTGAATCACTAATTGAAAGGGGCATGTTCAAAATAATAGCAGTGTGGAGTTCTATTAGTGAGGTCATTCATTCTTTGAAAAACAGGTGGCAATTATTGCCCTTATTTAAGGAAGGAAGGCAGCAAATGTTGTACCTGCTGGTTACAGTGCATTTCTCTCTGAAATTCTGAGGAAAATGGGTTGTTCCAGACATTGTTCAGAAGAACAGCGTACCTTGATTAAAAAGTTGATTGAGAGGGGAAAACATATAAAGAAGTGCAGAAAATGATAGGTTGCTCAGCTAAAATGATCGCCAATGCTTTAAAATGGCAACCAAAACCTGAAAGACGTGGAAAGAAAGCGAAAAACTACCATTTGGAATGGATAGAAGAATAGCCAAAATGGCAAGGACTCAGCCAACAATCAGCTCCAGGAAGATCAAAGAAGGTGTAAAGTTACCTGTGAGTACTGTTACAATTAGAAGACGCCTATGTGAAGCCAAGCTATCTGCAAGAAGCTCCCGCAAAGTCCCACTGTTGAAAAAAAGACATGTGCTGAAGAGGTTACAATTTGCCAAAGAGCACATTGATTGGCCTAAAGAGAAATGGCGCAACATTTTGTGGACTGATGAAAGTAAGATTGTTCTTTTTGGGTCTAGTGGCCGGAGACAGTTTGTCAGACGACCCCCAAACACTGAATTCAAGCCACAGTACACTGTGAGGACTGTGAAGCATGGTTGCGCAAGCATCATGATATGGGGATGTTTCTCATACTACGGTGTTGGGCCTATTTATCGCATACCAGGGATTATGGATCAGTTTGAATACATCAAAATACTTGAAGAGGTCATGCTGCCTTATGCTGAAGAGGAAATGCCCCTGAAATGGGTGTTCCAACAAGACAACGACCCCAAACACCCCAGTAAACCTGCAACATCTTGGTTCCAGACCAAAAAGATTGACGTTATGGAGTGGCCAGCCCAATCCCTGGATCTTAATCCAATAGAAAACTTGTGGGGTGACATCAAAAATGCAGTTTCTGAGGCAAAAAACCAAGAAATAGAGAAGAACTGTGGAATGTAGTCCAATCATCCTGGGCTGGAATACCTGTTCACAGGTGCCAGAAGTTGGTTGACTCCATGCAACACAGATGTACAGCAGTTCTCAGAAACAGTGCTTATACAACTAAATATTAAGTGATTAAAAGGAAAGCAAAATCTTCAAACATTTTTCAGTTTATATAGTGAATGTTTGCGTTTTGTAAGAAGAATACAAACACGGCTATTCGAGATGAGCGAATCGAACATGACGAAGTGGAATTCGTTCCGAAGATTTGGAAAAAATTCAATTCGCGCCGAATCCGAAGATTAGCACACTTCGGATGCACGAATCGAATTTTCCAAAAAATGGCGGCGACATGTGTGGCGACGACGAGCGGGGGACCTCTGGGAAGGCGCGCAGACAAGGCGCGCTGACCCATAATGCATTCATTCATGACATGTGATCGCATTAGCCAATCAGCAGCCAGCCAGCCAGCACTGTGTAATGGTGGAGCTATAAATCGCGGCCATCTTAAAATTCTCCATTAGCCTCCGGTCATTCAAGAGAGACAGACCTGTGTGTATGAAGGGACAGAGTTAGGGCCACAGAGACTTTAGGGCCACAGAATCGTTACTCAGGGCCACAGAATCGTTACTCAGGGCCACAGAATCGTTACTCAGGGCCACAGAATCGTTACTCAGGGCCACAGAATCGTTACTCAGGGCCACAGAATCGTTACTCAGGGCCACAGAATCGTTACTCAGGGCCACAGAATCGTTAGGGCCACAGCTATCAAAGAATCGAAAATTTAAGTGACATACACCCTTTTTTTTTTTGGTGTGGCTGTCGTGCACAGTTGGTGCTTGCAGTTTGCCGATTGTGCAAAATAAACTGACTTTCTGCTTCACAACCACTATTGTACGTTCAAAGAGTTAAATCCATTTACACGCCGGCTGGCGGTAATATTTTTTTTTTGGGTGATTAGTGCATTCCAGTGACACAAACGTACAGTTTCCAGCCAACGGCAAGCTGCAATTGACCGATTGTGTACAATAAACTGACTTTCTGCTTCACAACCACTATTGTACGTTCAAAGAGTTAAATCCGGTTTTATTTTTGGGGTGCTTATTGAATTAAAGAGTATGTCAGACAACACGCAGAGGAGGCAATGTTTCAGGAGCGAGCAGACGTGGCAGCAGAGGAAGGGGTCGAGGCAGCACTAGTCGCAGCCAGAGGCCAGTGCTCCCGGTGTCATCCAGCGGTCGTGTCTCCACCGACAACCCTGCCGTCATCGATTGGTTGACTCGGTCGTCTTCCTCTTCCCAGGTCACCTCTGACACCTACAGCCAACGGTCGGTGGGTACGTCAGACACAACCGTTAGTTGGCATGGCCCGGGAGCAAGCCCACTGAAATCACGTGTCCTCGACCTGCCCCTGTCCTTTGGTGTTCCCTCACCAAGCGAAGTATCGCATGCTGTGGGCTCAGCCCCACTGTACAGTGAGGAAGAGCTAACAGGGCGGTCAGGAACGGGGGGAGACATCCGCCTCTTCAGCAGCCAGGCGAAGAAGTACTGGCGAGGAGAGTGGCTCGGTAGCCGGTCTAGAGACAGGTCTGTCTCCTGACCCACACGCAGCCGAGGGGGCTAGTAGTGACGCGGAGACCCTAATTGATGATGATGAGGCTGATCGCACTTGGCAGCCTCGTCGTCATCAGGCTATTGCTTCCGCATCATCAGGAGAAGAGGGTGCCAGCTTGCCAGCGAGCAAAACAGTCGGTGGTGGGTTGCCCAGGAGGCAGCAGGGTCGCAGCAGTGTCAGTGGAGGCAAACGGCCACGGAGTAGAGCACCAGCTCCACTGCAGCCTACCACCACGGCCAGTAGTGGTGCCGGTGTGCACGGAGGAAGTAGCAGTCAGCCAGTGAGGAGTATCGGGGGCAAAGTTTCCTACTCGGCGGTGTGGCAATTTTTTGTCAAGCCGCCCGAGGAAGTAAACGTAGCCGTATGTCGACTATGTGGCCAGAAAGTCAAGCGTGGCCAGGGGGCCAATGTTGGGACTACAGCGTTGCGTCAGCATATGCAGCGTCGCCATTCGGTGGCCTGGGAAAACCGTGTTAAAGATACGGCGGTTCTGCCTGCCCCAGCCCCCGCTCCATCACCCGCTCCGTTACTTGCTCCGTCACCCGACGTCAATCGCCCTCTATCAGCCAGTCAAGGCTCCAACACCTCTGCTGAGGGGAGTTGTCGCTCGTTGGCATCTTCCGCTCGTTCAGATGCTCCTTCTCCTGCTACTCCTCTTCACGGATTCCGTCAGCAGTCTTTCTTGGAATCCGTTTCCAAGAGACAACAGTTTGCGAGCACGCACCCGACGGTGCAGAAGCTGAACGTCCTCCTGTCCAAGTTGCTGGTGCTGCAGTCCCTCCCTTTCCAAGTGGTGGACTCAGCACCTTTCCGAGAAATGATGGCTTATGCCGAGCCGCGGTGGAGAGTGCCAAGCCGTCATTTCTTCGCCAAAAAGGCAGTGCCAGCCCTGCATTCACATGTAGAAGAGATGGTGGGCCAGTCTTTGAGCATGTCGGTCTCTGCCAAAGTGCACGGCAGCGCCGACGTGTGGAGCTGTAACTACGGTCAGGGACAGTACATGTCATTTACGGCCCACTGGGTGAACGTGGTGCCGGCACAGCCGCACCAGCAACTTGGACAGGTTACGCCGCTTTTGCCTCCACGTTTGCACGTCCTTGGTCCAGCAAAGATGTCCGCCTCTACCACCTCTTCTTCCGCCGTGTCCTCAGCCGCCACCCCCGTGCCAAGTCCCATTACCCGACCGGCATATCACATGTGCAGGGCGCAACGGTGTCACGCTGTGCTGCACCTGGTATGCCTTGACGAACGTAGTCACACAGGGGAGGAACTTCTGAGTGTAATGAACAGAGAAATCGACAGATGGCTGTCTCCGCGCAAACTGAAAATCGGAACCATGTTGACCGACAACGGAAAGAACATGGTGTCTGCTCTGCGTCAAGGAAGGTTGTGCCATGCGCCATGCATGGCTCACGTGTTCAATCTGGTTGTCAAGCGGTTCCTAAAATCCACCATCCCACTGCAAGACATCCTTAAAATGTCACGTAAACTTTGCATGCATTTCAGCCATTCCTACACCGCAAAGCACACCCTCCTTGAGCTGCAGCGGCAGAACGGAATTCCACAGCATCGCCTGATCTGCGACGTTGCAACAAGGTGGAATTCAACCCTACATATGTTAGACCGCCTTTTGACGAACAGCGAAAGGCCATCACCGATTTCCTGATGTTACAAGCGGATAAAGGTACTCCCCTGTGTAACTTAGATGTCAGCCATTGGCAGCTCATGCGTGACACCTGCCGCTTGCTCAGGCCCTTTGAGGAGGCCACGCTATTCGTGAGTTGGCAGGACTATAGGATGAACGACGTCATTCCTCTGTTGCACGTCCTGGAACAAATGCTGTTAACAATGGCTGGTCAGGGTGCGGTAGACGTGGCGCACAGATCTCAACGCCACATGACCCCTGTGGGGGCAGGACAGGAAGAAGAGGAGGAGGTAGAGGAGGACATTGGTGCTCAGGAATTGAGTGAAATGGGTGGTTTTTCCACTCAGCGGACAGGAGTGGAGGAGCATCTGGTAGAGGAGGAGGAGGAGGAGACAGAGGACCCAGATGCACCGTGGCAGTATGCTGTGGAGATGGAGGCAGGGAGTCCCTCGCATTCCTTGGCACAAATGGCCCATAGCATGCTCGGTTGCTTGCGTAGCGACAGCCGAATAATAACCATCAGACAGAGGGATGACTTTTGGCTGTCCACCTTGTTGGACCCTCGCTACCGTTCAAAAATGGT